CTCACTTGTAACCCCTGCTCTGTCCAGGAATGACCAACTGTCCCCAGTTCCCAGTGTCTCACTTGTAACCCCTGCTCTGTCCAGGAATGACCAACTGTCCCCAGTTCCCAGTGTCTCACTTGTAACCCCTGCTCTGTCCAGGAATGACCAACTGTCCCCAGTTCCCAGTGTCTCACTTGTAACCCCTGCTCTGTCCAGGAATGACCAACTGTCCCCAGTTCCCAGTGTCTCACTTGTAACCCCTGCTCTGTCCAGGAATGACCAACTGTCCCCAGTACCCAGTGTCTCACTTATAACCCCTGCTCTGTCCAGGAATGACCAACTGTCCCCAGTACCCAGTGTCTCACTTGTAACCCCTGCTCTGTCCAGGAATGACCAACTGTCCCTAGTTCCCAGTGTCTCACTTGTAACCCCTGCTCTGTCCAGGAATGACCAACTGTCCCCAGTTCCCAGTGTCTCACTTGTAACCCCTGCTCTGTCCAGGAATGACCAACTGTCCCTAGTTCCCAGTGTCTCACTTATAACCCCTGCTCTGTCCAGGAATGACCAACTGTCCCCAGTTCCCAGTGTCTCACTTGTAACCCCTGCTCTGTCCAGGAATGACCAACTGTCCCCAGTTCCCAGTGTCTCACTTGTAACCCCTGCTCTGTCCAGGAATGACCAACTGTCCCCAGTTCCCAGTGTCTCACTTATAACCCCTGCTCTGTCCAGGAATGACCAACTGTCCCCAGTTCCCAGTGTCTCACTTGTAACCCCTGCTCTGTCCAGGAATGACCAACTGTCCCCAGTTCCCAGTGTCTCACTTGTAACCCCTGCTCTGTCCAGGAATGACCAACTGTCCCCAGTTCCCAGTGTCTCACTTGTAACCCCTGCTCTGTCCAGGAATGACCAACTGTCCCCAGTTCCCAGTGTCTCACTTGTAACCCCTGCTCTGTCCAGGAATGACCAACTGTCCCCAGTTCCCAGTGTCTCACTTGTAACCCCTGCTCTGTCCAGGAATGACCAACTGTCCCCAGTTCCCAGTGTCTCACTTATAACCCCTGCTATGTCCAGGAATGACCAACTGTCCCCAGTTCCCAGTGTCTCACTTGTAACCCCTGCTCTGTCCATGAATGACCAACTGTCCCCAGTTCCCAGTGTCTCACTTGTAACCCCTGCTCTGTCCAGGAATGACCAACTGTCCCCAGTTCCCAGTGTCTCACTTGTAACCCCTGCTCTGTCCAGGAATGACCAACTGTCCCCAGTTCCCAGTGTCTCACTTGTAACCCCTGCTCTGTCCAGGAATGACCAACTGTCCCCAGTTCCCAGTGTCTCACTTGTAACCCCTGCTCTGTCCAGGAATGACCAACTGTCCCCAGTTCCCAGTGTCTCACTTGTAACCCCTGCTCTGTCCAGGAATGACCAACTGTCCCCAGTTCCCAGTGTCTCACTTGTAACCCCTGCTCTGTCCAGGAATGACCAACTGTCCCCAGTTCCCAGTGTCTCACTTGTAACCCCTGCTCTGTCCAGGAATGACCAACTGTCCCCAGTTCCCAGTGTCTCACTTGTAACCCCTGTTCGGATGTGATCATGGTATGTGAACGAGTATCCAACAAGTCACCACCTCCAATATCTAAAGCTTACTTAGAGACTGCCCTGGACTCTGAACTGATCAGTGAGCGAGCTTTGAGAGAGGTATAAGGAGAAAGGATTTTTGAATTTTTAAAGGATGTTTGGTTTATTTCGTTTTAGGGTCTCGAATCAGTTGATTAAATTTGAGGTGCTGTTAATGCTGTCCGTCATCCTAGATGACGGACAGCTGGTTAGCAATACCATAGCAACCTGGTAACCTGGTAACCTGGTAACCTGGTAACCTGGTAACGTGGTAACCTGGTAACCTGGTTACAATTTTTATCGTGCTGATTTATCGTCCCCAGGTGATCCTAGATGACGGACAGACTGACAAGATAATGCAGTTCCTATCCTGTCCTAGACGTCGGAGAAGCTCGGTCTGTGCTGACCATCTACTGATTAAACAAATCGGTCCTAGTTTAGGTATGTAACAATTTATTGTAAAAGAGAGTGGTTCAGGACAGTAACCATGGTAACCAGAGTAACCACCGACTCTTCTTTAAGCAACGTGTGAAACGTGTGTCAGATAGTTGTTCTCATATAATAGTCAGCATACAGTAGCAGGTTTTGATTTTATATTGAACTTGTCGTACTTAATGTGCACAGTTTAGTACATCTAGTGCTATGTATTTACTCTAAGTTTTACATTATTCTTCTTTCATTGAGTTACTTGTCAAAGGACACTTTTACTTTAATCATAAGATTGCATTCGCCGGCAGTCATTCAAAATCAAGCACATCTTGACTGCTGAACATATCGAGATATTAAGTTTTACAGTAGAATTCTACCTTTTCTAAGTTGTACATTTCTCCGTTGTTTTTTGTTTCATCTTTGTCTATCCACGCCTTGAAAGGTTGTATTTATACCTCACAAAATATGGTTAACAGACGGTACAGTAACCACATTAACCACAGTAACCACAGTAATCACAGTAATCACAGTAACTACAAACCTCAGGATCGTATTGTTTGCTTTTAACAAAGGTTAAAGAGAACGGTCGAGTAACCGCCTTAAATTCATTGTGGTGTACACTGTACAGCACTCGTATTCAAATCTGCCAAACCGCGATTAAATTTCTGAAATCGCTTTCAGTACAGTCGCAACAAATCTAAACTTTAGGATTAACGTTTGAATTTTAAAACTGGTAGCTGTCAAGCAACAAGAGTGCTACTGCACAGATGCTGACTTTGAAATTGTGTTAAGTTAAGTTATCATTTGTTGTTGTCTCAAATCTCAACTCTTAGAAGTTCTTAACTTTGACATTTTTTGCCCGAAAATGTATAAAATATTCCTATTTCCTAAAAAGAACCAATAACGAAAACCCTTACCGTTACTGGTAACCTGGTAACCTAGTAACCTGGTAACCTGGTAACCTGTTAAACTGGTAATCTGGTAACCTGTTAACCTGGTAATCTGGTAGCCTAGTAACCTGGTAACCTGTTGACCTGGTAACCCGTTAACCTGTTAACCTGTTAACCTGTTAACCTGTTAACCTGTTAACATGGTAACCTGGTAACCTGGTAACCTGGTAACCTGGTAACGAAACCCTTCCGGTTAGGTTCCAAATTGCTGGAAGATACTCTGCGGGAGATAAACAAAGTAGTTCAGCTCAAAACCTTCACTGAGCAGCCAGAGATTCAGTCACCTCAGGTATTTAGAACATCACATTACTTACTAACTGGGTCTATTCAGAAAAAAACATTCATTTTCTGGGAAGAATCATCAAATGAGACCCAATAAGCCGTACATATTATTGTTATGTTTTGCACGTTAATTTATTGTAGCATTAATTACGTTAATTTATTGTAGCTCTTATATTGTGTAAAATGTTACGGACGAAATGATCCCAGGGGGGACTCCCAACCCACTGCTTCGGGGCGTTGTTGATGCACCTTTCACAAGCAAGAGCCGCTTTGGTCTACTAGCTGTGCATTGCACCGCACAGTGTGCAATGTCTCAGCTACATGGGTTGGGGCCCCCCATTTGTTTTCTTTTTTGTAATTGTTTTGCGCGCTCTGAGAATGAGACTTTTCAGAGTTGCAGTGAGCAAGTTAAAGGTTGGTTTGCTACGCCGAACAAGGTCGTCTCCAGCCCTCCGGTAAGATCATGTTCTTATCTTGTATCCTGTATCCTGTATCCTGTATCCTGTATCCTGTATCCTGTATCCTGTATCCTGTATCCTGTATCCTGTTCTCTTACAAGTGTTTAGTGCTGTTTATTGTTGCTTACTTTTGTTTATTTTGAAAAAAAAATTGCAAATCCAGATATTAATCATTGATCCCGGCCAGCCTGTATCTGGCTTCATGCTCAGCCCGATGTACAGTTACTGTGTCTATAGTGGTATTTATCACGATAGTAACAAAAGGACTAGATAGCACTTCACCGTAGACCACCGACTAAATTCAACCGATCTCATTTATAGTCATTATCACTGCGAAATATCCGCATATACTTACAGTTTAACTGTTTTGAAGCATATCCCGATTTAAATATGCGCATAATACTAACAGTTTAACTGTTTTGAAGCATATCTCGGTTTAATTATCGCGATCTTTCTCTTAGTGCGGGTATTATCGCTTTGTTTTCTTGTTAAAAGATATTAAATTTACAGTCTAGTGTTACGGTGCGTTCTTTAGAAATAACTCGTTGCTTTGACTCTTGGTCCCCGACTAGTGTAGTCTTGAGCAATAATTAGTGATATTTTGCTGCATTATTTGTAAATTTTAGCAACAATAAGCAAGCAACTCACTTACAAGCACACGAGTTAAACCACATGTCAACTTGCTCCTGTAGCGGGATTACAGGAGTAGACTGAGAGAGAGAGACTCATATCTCACTATCTCATTCCTGCCCCCGTTATTTTAGTTTAATACTCCTTTCTGTTTTACTCAAATGTTCATACTTTGGTTTTTAAGGTGGTGTTTCACACTTGATATATTAGTAACAATTAAAGTAACGTTTTTAGAATTTAGTGTTAAAAGTTTTGTAAGAAGCTACCCTTCACGAGTGCTTATTGCTGCGATTTGAGAAATAGCTCTTATTGTAATGATGATAATATTCGTTTTATGGCGAATGATTTGATGGATACAACTGCTATAATCACTACAAAACAGTATGATTTTCTAACTGCAACTGTTGCCATAGTAACAATAACATACTAACTAATAGTACAACAGTTACCATAGTAACATACTAACTAATAGGACCAACTCCACGGAAAGAGAACAACTCTAGGACTAGGAGGATACAAACTCACCACCAGTAGATCTCTCTTCCTTACAATCGTGGCGAAGGAACGCTTCAAGGCGGCGCATCCTACCCGCCAAAACAAGGTAAGTAGGTGGTTACCATAGTTACTAAGTAGCTGATGGAGTCTAGTGTGATAAACTTAGTGAATTGTCTGCATCTCTTACCAAGAATAAGTTACAGTTGCCCTCCCCCATATCTACACTTCACATGAACTATATTGACAGACAGCGTCTAAGAAAGTGGTACATGGGTCGAGGGTTAATACTCAGTCCTCAGAGGAGGAGGGGTTCACAGAAATACCGCCCCTTGACAAAGTGCAGGAGCATATAGAACGAGTCAGGACCATCATGGGCCAGAGTCCCGTCACTCCCTCCGGACGACAGGACCTTTGTAAGTTTTCTCTTATTAACAAGATGAGGAAAGACAAATTTGTGATGTCAATTGTGGTGTGGTCACTGTCAGTGGTGTTAAACTTGTGTTTTTGTCAATCTAGATTTATCTCAACTTTTCAGTCAGTTCCAGAGGAAGACGAGAACCAGAACCGAAAGCGAAACTAACCGCCCACATGGTGTACAAAGTGCCGTTCCCTGCACTCAAGAGAAGACGAGACACGCATCTTGCTGGAGAGAAATACATACATTCTCTTATTTTGGACGATTGAGTTTATTTTCAGTTGTAACCTGTAAAGTTACAACTGCACTATTTGATCAGGTCTAAGATTCTCCAATCGAGCAATACAAGTCAAATTGTTCAGATGTTCAGGTCACGGAAAAGAAAAGAAAACACTTTGATCTTAGTAGAAAACTGAAATCAGAATTTTGTAATTTGATTAGAGTGGCTGCTCTCAAACTGAATCTTGCGTTTTTAATAGAATATCTCGAGAGAGCTCGTGATAGAGTGGACGGTAACAATATCTGTTTAGTCTCGGACATCTTCAGTCCGAGCGTGCTAATTCACTCTGCAGTCGATCTTCGAGATTGTTCTAAAAGGGTCCCCGACAGTTGAAATCAATTTGGATCGATGTTTTTTCGGACGCTGATTCCGAATAACCCTCCTGAAATAGGGTAAAAATGCTCACCTGGCGAGATATTTGCGAAAAACTGTCTCTATCACGTGATATGACCGTATAAGGAAGTGAGTATAATTTATCGTTAGGGGTTTCAGCATATGCTGATCATGCTTTTGGGTTAGGGACAGGGTTATGATCAGATTAGAGGGTTAGGGTTTTGAATAGACGTTCAGGGCCAGTTAGAGAACGGGTTGAAAAGTCACGTGACAGACGAGTGTAGTATAGAGTGATTAATCATTAATCATCATCCGCTTCAATCAGTAGTCACAAATAATTTCAAGTCAGCAGTTCCCGGCTCTTACTAATTCGCTCGCCCAAAAATTTCACGTGACTTTGGTTTTTATGGTTTTACACTTTTACAGCCGTACAAAACGGTTTTACATAAAGTTAAACCCTAATCCCAACCCTAACACTAACCATAACCCCGAAGCTATCCCATATTCATAACCCTTACCACAACCCTAACCCTAACCCGAGCCCTAAACAATCGAATTCATGTTTTACTAGCCTGTCACGTGACCAAAACGGTTTTTTGCCCATAACACATAACTCTCCAGGGAAGCATTTTTACCCTACGTCATGGGGGTGATTCGGAATCAGCATCCAAAGATACACCAATTTAGATCAATTTCATAATCATACCAAAAGGGCCTTTTCACAAGAATTTTCTTAAAATTTGGGCGAGCGATTTAGTTTGTCATACGTTGTATGACCCGCCGCGCACTCGTGCGTGGCTAAAACTGTATCGGTAGAAACTCTACCAGTGAAGTTACCTGAGGACCCCAGGCTTTAATGTTGGTAAACAACGAATAGAGATTAGGCGGAATGACAGGCTGAGCGCGGCCCAGTAACAGTGAAGCGACAGTGGGGGTCACCACGTGATACAAGATTTAGTAGGAGCGGCAGTACCCACCCTATTACTATTAGTGAAGTGTGAACTAGCTGTGTGGGGCTGGTGAAGATCGGCTCTAGTCTCGATTGGTACGTGTGGTGGATGATGATTAATCACTCTACACTCGACTGTCACGTGACTTTTTCAACCCGTTCTCTAGCTGGCCCTGAACGACTATTTGAAACCCTAACCCTCAAATTTGATCCCGACCCTAACCCTAACCCAATCCTTAACAAAAGCATATGCTGAAGTCCTAACCCTAACGAGGAATTAGACTTACTTTCTTATTCGGTCATATCACGTGATCGAGGCAGTTTTTCGCCAATATCTCGTCAGGGGAGCATTTTAACCCTATGTCATGGGGGTGAATCGGAATCAGCGTCCGAAAATAAATCGATTGAAGTTGGTTTCAACTGTCGAGGGCCATTTTAGAACAATCTCGAAGATCGACTGTAGAGTGATTTAGCACGATCGACGTGTGGTATCAATTTGTCATACGGTGTATGACCCGCCGCGCACGAGTGCGCGGCTCCCCCTGTATCGTAGAAACTCTACTATCGTAGAAACTCTACTATAGTGAAGCGACAGTGGGGGTCACCACGTGATACAAGTATCAATCACTCTGAGATCTGATAGTAGAGGCTCTTACGGGCATTGTCTGCTCGATACGTTAGGGACCCCAGATACACCTTACTAGACGTATTTTTGACCGTAGAATCGATTGAAAGTGGTTTCAAGATGATTGGACTGATTGTTCTGGGGTAAAATCGCAAAAAACCGATTTTTGGGCCAAAAATAGGCCAAAAAACCATGTTTTTTGATATTTTGAGCAAGTTAATTTTGTTGGCATGTCGGCAAAACTTGCATAAAGATAGCTAAAAGACAGCCGCACAAGATTGTATAAAAATAAAACAAATCCCTCTATTTGTTCTGAGGTAAAAATCCAAAAAAGTGGTAAAAATTTTGACTTTTTTGCTTTAAGTTTGAATAATTTTTTGCAGTTGTATTAAATCAACCCAAAAATAGTCACATCGTGTTTGCCTAAATTTTTCCTTTCAGAGAAGTACCCACTTCATATACTTAATCGAAGTTTGAATATTGTCACTCCGCAAGCGTTTTTGCCAAATTTTCGACGCGCACTACGCGCAAAAGCATTTAGTTGTTATCAATTGGCACCCGCGCGTTCATCATAAATTTCAAACAGCTATAACTCAGCGAGATTATGTCCGTTCTAGCTCATATTTTCACACTAAATAGAAAATAATGTGATCTTATTGCTGACAAAATATGGATATAATTACTTTATTTGCCTTAGAGTAATAGACTGTCAAAGTTTAAAACGCGCATTGGTATAGCACGTGACTAATAAGGCCAAATTTATACTTCTTAACATATTATCGATCCTTAGACATCATACTATTGTGTCCAATTAGCGGTTAGGTCTCTAAACTCGTAGCAGAAAACACGTCTTTTTGCCCGTAAGAGCCTCTACTATGAATTGAAAAAGTTACAATTTTGAATTTAGTCGATTTCGCCAAATTGTTATTTCCAACTTTTATGTTCGAGAGATTTTATAAAAATTTTATAAAAGCTTTTAAATTAATAATAGATGTGATTGTCATATTATTTGTTTATGATGCAAATAAATTCTATAAAAATGTTTTGATACTAGTTATAGTATTATCCAAATATTTTCAATTTTTACTTCTAGTGGTGGAGTGTATTTTGTTATACTTATTTAATTTTAAGTGAATCAACAATTGGAGGAAGCCACCCCTCACGTCATATTAAAATCGATCAAAACGTATTTCAAAGAGTGCCATTTCGAGTAGAAAGTGGCGCGCGCTCGCGCTACTTCCAACTTCTAAGAAATTTGGACGAGTTACATCCGTCAACAATAAACGTCTTTTTATTTGGCACGTATGTATGTTTGCTCGCTCGCACGCACGGTCGCAAAGCTATGCCTATACCATATTTAACGGTTAACGGGTGATACTCGTAAAATTTTTGTTCCATATATTAGGACCGTCGACGAGTCCAACTCGGCGCGCGTCCTGGTATGCTATATGTTACATGTTATAATCCTACAACTTCGGCACTTTGAGTCATAATGCAATATGTATGTACTACGGCTTGATGGATCAGGAAAAAATAAGAGAAAACACTTTGATTGTTTTAACACTATCATAATGTAGGGCTTCCTACACCCCTGATAATGATCAATGATAAAAGTTTACATGGTAAACCTAAAATAAGACTCACATCCTAAGACATGTCATAATACATATACAAAAGTTACAAAATGTTGAACATTAACATTATCATTATTATTCAGGGTCGTAACTGAAAAGTAGACATATTCTAAAAGCTAATCTAAACCATCTTAAACTTAAGGGAGACAAATTAAATCAGCAATCGATTAAGTTTTTCATCTCTCCTCTCATTTATTATCTTAACTTTGTCTAACAAGTCCTCCTTGTCAGTTTCTGTCCATTAAATAAACGTACAGCTATATTTTTAGAATCTCATAACTTTGTAAACAGTAAGAGATAGTACACATACTACTAATACTATGTAATCCAACGTTTGGGGAGGTATTTTGAAATGTGTATAGTGAGGGGTTTAGTGAGGGGTATAGTGATGGGTGTAGTGATGAATATTGAGGGGTATAGTGAGGGGTATAGTGATGAATATTGAGGGGTATATTGAGGGGTATAGTGATGGGTATAGTGATGGGTATAATGAGGGGTATAGTGATGGGTATAATGAGGGGTTTGGGGTTTACAGTGGCCAAAACATGGTTTAGGAACGTGTTGAGCAATATATTATGTTACATAGAAAAGCGATAAAAAGTGCGTGAATATACAGGAACTACATCTCTAGAGAAATAAATTATTTTAGAATAGCTTTCGAGAATTTTTCTCTGTAACTGCTTTATATCACAGCTATGGAAACAAGATATAAAATCAATATGTACGTTTTAACTTTAATTTCAAGTTAGAGGTTCTGCGATGTGATCTAAAAGGAAGATCTGGACTGCCTCGTGACCAATAACATGTGGTTACTATAGTTACATGTGGTTACTATAGTTACATATCTCTCTTTCAATATCATCATACAAGAGGCCGAAGCAATTTCTGAGAGCATTTGTTCTCGCTAAATAATGATAAGTTCAGAGACTTGTTGGCCGTTCTTCCTGCTGGTTACCATGGCTACTAGGTTACTACTTCCTGCTCGAGCCGTTGCTGAATCTAAAACCAAACACAGTCTCATTTGCTGAATTTTTCTGAATGCTGTATATTCCCTCGATGTTACAATGATCCAACTGTACAGTTGCCATGGTTACTAAGTTGCTAAGTAGTGTCCCACAATTCTATCACACGACCTTCACCTCGCTCCTTCAATCTTTTTCCGGAATAGCATTCTCGAAAATAACACAATATACAACACTATAAAATCATCTGAATTATTAATGAAGAGGTCTATCATTGTTGTCGGCAGTCTCCCGATTCCTCGTCAGCAGTCATCATAGCCTGGAATTCGTTATAGTCTATCAGCCCATTCTTGTCTAGATCTGCAATTGCCAGTAGCTGAAACAAATCGTCGTTTGAATGTGGGACAATTTCGAAAAACTTAATTACGGTACTAGCAAACCTGCGCGTTTGCAACACACTTTTTTAGAGATTTTACCGGTGTATCCTCTAAAATCATCTACCTTACTCGGGATTATTATGACCGGGATAAAGTGGTGGGTTTAGGGTAATTTCGCCATATTTTTCCCGAACCACATTTTCACCGGTCGTTAATAAACCCGCCTACTCAGCTTTTAGGGTTCCCAAGGGGTATGGGTGCTCATATTTTAATCGTTGTCTTATATTCACTAAAGAAGACTATTGGGACACTTGTTGTAGGTTTTTCGACTTCATTTGGCTGAAATTGCAAAAAATTCACCTTTTTGCCCAATTCTTGTCATATATCCTTATTGTCAAATTTGATTTAAATAGGCCAATTTTTAATTTCTTAGGTATTGACTATCTCTACAAATGAAATAGGACTCAAAGTAAAAGTAACAGTTAAATTAAAACTTGAATTAATTAAAACTGATGAAAGGGATGATCCAGATGAAGATAACGAAGATGATTACAACTTATTGGAAGACTAAACAGCTCTCCCTTTATCTTAATATCGATCTGGTTGTTACGCTTCAAATGTTAAAAATTATCTTCCATCTAGTTTGATTAACCACGAGTCATTATTTCTGTCTACTTTCAACAATTATTGATAATTCGACTTGTTTCACAAGTTTTAGCAATGCGAAAATTTCTAAACTTGCTTATCTCTAATAAGGAAATTTACATCTGAGACAAAATTTTTGAATCTAAAATTGAAAGGTTGGACACCGGTAAAATGGCGACCGGGAAAATGTGGTGGGTTTTGAGCAATTTCGCCATATTTTTCCCGAACCATATTTTAACCGGTCGTTAATAAACCCGTCGTAATAATCCCGAGTAAGGTAATTTGTTCAATTTGAGGGAAGGGGCGCCAACAGGGGAGGGGCCGCCCACAGATGGGCGTGGGGGGGGGGGGGGGGGGGGGGGGGGGGGGGGGGGACTGGACACGGTAGTTGCAAGTGCAACCAGGATCGAAAGAGAGTAATTCCGAGGTAAATGAGGATAGACGGTCACTTCATTGATTGATTTTGTTTTACCTCATCGGCCTCTTGTTGCGTCATCGCCTCTCCGTACGTGCACAGGGCGAACCTCAGCTCCTGCGCGTCCACATACCCGTCTTTGTTACGGTCAAATACTGCAAACGCCTGAGTGAGTATGGATTGTTTTAAAAAATAAATAAGTTGACTACTGCTAAGTTTAGACGGAAGGGTGGTATGAATATCAATTTTTGTGATTATTGAATAGTTCTTTTATTCAAATTTCTGATTGTTTCTGAATAGACTCAGTGAAGACAGATTCTAATGGAAATAAATAGCTGAATAACGTATCGACATTTCTACGTCATACTCATATTCTGAAATAGTATTAATTCAATTATAACGATCAATATTCACATTAAAAATTTGACGACGAAATTTATTTCAAACAAAATATATAACTGTATAATAGTTATCAACCGTAAATAGTTTTTTTAACGAAATCGGAGCAAATATGAACATAAAACTGACAAAATTTATCAAATAGGGCTCATCTAAAATTAACGAATAGCGTGACGTTATACAGGAGATAAAAGATTAAAAGAGATAAAAGAATTAAACGAGAATATTACTATTTACACGTCACTCAACTAAAAACTGTGTTAGATTGTTCAACTCTGTTTTTTTTATGACGTAGAAATGTCGATACGTTATTCAGCTATTTATTTCCATTAGAATCTGTCTTCACTGAGTCTATTCAGAAACAATCAGAAATTTGAATAAAAGAACTATCAAATCATGAGACTCAAAAACACTACACGAATCCACCAGATTATTGAATAGTCAAAGCTTCTACTTATAAAGTGGTTTACGTTAACAATTCCTCGAGAAACGTCAATAGTCAATACTTAGAAAAGTTTACACTTCTAATTATAGTAATATGTTTATACGCACTTTAACGATTTCACCTTTCTCGATTTCATTCCACGTTTCGGAAGCCATTAAGGTCAGGAACTCACTAAACTCAATAGTTTTACTCTGGTTTTCATCTACTTGCTCTGAAATAGGTGAATTTTTAATTTCCGATAATAAGAGGAAAATCGAAGCTCATATGAGGTTAACATTACCAGTACGAAAAAAGAACGCTCACTATTTTTAGAAATCTACCATATCAAAAATGTTACCTATAATTCTGTTGAGGTCGTTTTCAGATAGAGATTTTCCGAGATGTATTCTGAAAACATGGCCGAGTTCGTCCACACTGATACTCCCATCATCATTCTTATCAAACAGTTTGAAGAGTTGGCGATATGACTCCACCTGCAGACGACACTCGTTATTAACTATTATAGGTAACTAATAATTAATTCTCTTAAAAATTATAATTATCATTATATAGGCATTGTCAATTTAATTCATACCCATAGTCGCTGCAAAAAATGCGGCTTCGTAGTTTTTTAGTTTACATTGCTGGACGTGGCTTGTTTGATAAATATCCCCAGGAAATTAAACATACTGTCTAATGTACGCGATACGATAAATCAATTAGTGGATAGGAGATAAGAAATCATGCAAATGTCATTAAACTTGTAAAATGTGACGACCATAATATGAATATATATCGACAACTGGCTACTGATGACGATGTGGCAAAATGCTTTTAGAATTACAAAAGAGGGAATATGTGTGTGTGTGTGTGTGTGTGTGTGTGTGTGTGTGTGTGTGTGTGTGTGTGTGTGTGTGTGTGTGTGTGTGTGTGTGTGTGTGTGTGTGTGTGTGCGCGTGGGTGGGTGTGTGTGTGTGTGTGTGTGTGTGTGTGTGTGTGTGTGTGTGTGTGTGTGTGTGTGTGTGTGTGTGTGTGTGTGTGTGTGTGTGTGTGTGTGTGTGTGTGTGTGTGTGTGTGTGTGTGTGTGTGTGTGTGTGTGTGTGTGTGTGTGTGTGTGTGTGTGTGTGTGTGTGTGTGTGTGTGTACAACTCACCGAATCGTCATCTTCAAAGAAATGAACCATCAGAAAACAGTTATGAAACTTATATTATCACTGAGTAAAGATTAGAAAGATTATTATTGATCTTAATATAATCTCATGTTTTTTATGCTTGGCTAAAAGGGGCGACAATTTTATGAAATGATAAAAACAAGCAGTAAACGTTGTATGATTCAACAATCAACATACTTTAAAGAATACAGACAAATTGAAATAAGGTATAATTTCTGTATATCGGCAGAGGTGAACTGACCGGACTAAATACAACTTGAGCTTTAGAACTAGAGGGAAATAATGTGCACGTCCTGCGCGGAATCCCCCCAAAATGAGCGAAAGCTAAAGGTGATTCCAAATTTAGCATTCATCTAAACATAAGTCAGAAATGTTAATCTTACACTCAACTACAAAGATGTTTCACGCTCTTATTTGTTGGTAAAACTAAATCTTACATTGATATCTTACAGCGACAGTGAATTTCACTCTATGTTTAAATCTAATTGCGAACACTGAGCGTAAAAAGGTATGTTCGGCCGGTTATTCAATTGTTAAATGAAAAAATTGAAACACTGAGTACAAGTCGTTAAGATCGTCTAATGTTTATTTTGAGTTTGTTAAGTGTTTAGTTTCATAATCCATATAATATGAACACACGATGTAAAAGCTTCGAGCACAATATTCGAAGCTCTTTTTGAGCAAGAAGAGAACATGGAGGATTAGCGCAAATGTGGTGTAATTTCGCCAAACCACCAAGTTGGATCGTATAGTACCCTAAGAAGAATGATAATAATTTAGAGCATGTTATTTGGTAACCAATGGTTACTAACAACCTCTTTAAAAAACTGTTATCTAGCACAACATAACAGAAAAAAGATAAAAATATAAAAAAAAAGCAAAAAAAGATTCCATCCCAATGCTGAAAAAAAAACTGTCCACTAAATAACAATTGACCGAATATGTAACAGTCAAATGAAGTGGCCAGTAAAAACAAACATTTCCGTTATCTTGATGATCGAGATGTAAAATTTCCAGCTTGCATGATTGAGAAAAACAAAACAAATCACTAATGGGGTTTTGCCGCCGACAACAGAAAAATGTGAGCTTGATGTAACAACAAGACATCCTTATAAGATGTGAGCTTGATGTAACAACAAGACACCCTTACAAAAAAACAGCATGCTATTACTATTAGGAAGAGAACACTGTAATTAAGCAAGACAAAGAACATGTGAGCGGAGCTGTAATATCAAGCTCTATATCACAAGTGCATAATATATTATTATATTATCTTGTTACTTTTAAAGTTAAACGAACTACCCTTGTAGTGGCAGCATTCCGATATTCAACAAACTGTATCTCTAACAGTGTTTCTGGCGACCCCTGCTGCAGTCTAACAATGTTGTTATACTATTACGATTGAAGTCACGTATTATGACTATGTTAGAATGTACATTATCAAGATATTTCATTATATTTCATTATCAAGATATCTGATCTTGTTTGTGATATGTGATATGTGAGAACGTCGTGATCGGATCAAAGATTAAGTTTTAAGTTAAGTTTATTCAAGAAGGATTTTAGTTTTAATTCGAACAAAGGAATCTCAGTCTTAGTCTTACAATTCCGCAGAAAAATGTATTATTCTTCAGAAGTCAAAAAGCTAAGTACAAACACGCCTCCTTTCCTTCAACGATCATAAATTCATTTTCACGAATCACATGTAGATAGTTATATAGTTGACACATAACTGCATTCCATAACCCTCTAGTTTAGTTTAAAGCCGGTAATATAATGACTTAGTAACCTCACTCAGTTATAAAACCAAAATTATAATTATCTACAGGAACTACAGGAACTACAGGAACTACAGGAACTAACAGGAACTACAGGAACTACAGGAATTAACAGGAACTACAGGAACTACAGGAACTAACAGGTCTGTCAATTTAAATACCACAATGAAAAGCACCGTTCCAGCCAACAATCAACAACAAAAAGTAACAACAAAGCACACACGGAACTTGCACCTCAAGTAAACTGGACAGTAATCTTATAACCAATTAGAAAGTTACTTCTAGCTACTGTGCAGGTCACACCTTCAAACTATCACACATCATAACATTTCCAAGAACTAGCAGGTCTATCTATAGTGCAGCAGCGTGACCAACAAGGTGCACGTGCGGGATTAGTACCAAACAGGGCACTGACGCGGTCATTACATCAAGAAAATGTTTTGAAGCGGGCATTTGGCAAACTTGGCAGTCAGTCATTGGGTAAACGGCATCTAGTATCACTTGTATAAATATAACTTATTGGAGGCAACTGTAAAGTTAGCACGCCCGTCGCGGGTGTTATATTAGTAGTAGACTTGCATTAAACGTATAGTATATCGGTATATGGAACACGACAAATTATATGTGCCGATGCTAGCAAAATGTGGGAGGGGAGGGGGCGGAGGGGGAGGAGGGGGATGATACAACAGGACTACAATTGTTAGTTTAACTTTTATTAACCTATTGGAACTTCCAAGGATATAAGCCGTAGTCAAAGATATAATAATGCAATTTCATGTATGGATTATTACAGAGTTATATATTTCGATTGAGAGGGGCTGGAGTTCCACAATTTTCCCTTACACATGTCTTTCAACGAACCCTAGCGTTAAATGAAGCCCAAACAAATGTTCAACATTAATCGTAAGACCTTATTCAAAACAGAAGAGAGCACAATGTCGGGAGATCGAATATTCGTTTCTCGAATAAGTAGAACAAGAAACAGAAAGAGGTCGAACAGTAAGTGATCAATAAAACCTGGAGTCACACCATGTAGTTGACTGAGAAACCATTTCCAGGCAGTTACTCGCTAGCAAACTAGAGTCTAGACAGGTAACCTGAGCAGCTGAACGTGTTGGCTAACTACAAGGTAACTGTTGGCTTTTAACGGTTAACACGTCGTTATAGTGCTGCTGTGAGACCAGGAAAAGTTAGACAGAGTCTAATTGAGATGGCTGGCGGTGAGTTAAAATGATGCGATTGGCCCTACATCCCAGGCTGACGGTCGAACTCCATTCTCAAAAAAATTACCTTTAGTGAAGGCCGATGGTCAACAAATAGCGATGTTAGAGCTTGGTGTGAACAAATCCTGACCTCCTTGTACACCATTAGAGTCAACTCTCGCAAATGCGAGAGGAAAGATCCCGGGGAGGGCACCATTGGTTTTGGTAGATTTGGTAGATTTGTTTGTTTGGGGACCGGTTTTTGGTACACCGGCCAATGTTTACAAAATCATATGATACATAACAATATAATTTTATTTAACATACGTGAATATAAGAATAGACATGAAATCTTGAATTTCTATTTATTCCCTGCAATTTTTACTAAGTTCAAAATAAATTTATATGATAACGTATATCACTATAAGAATATGTATGAAAGTCAAACCTGCTTCGCGAAAACTAACAGTTCTGTGTGCTAACAGATCCTGACTGATACTTTTTAACACTAACTAACTAATACTCTTAACTCTAAAAACTAACTAGCTAAAATAAAATATGAGCCACAGTTCATTCTGCCTTGCATATTTAAAAAAGAAAAAAAGAAGAGATTATATGGCTGGCAGTGAGTTGAAATGATGCGATTGTGGTACATACTCTGAGGAAAGTATCATCGTAAATCACGAACAAAAATTCAACAACAACATTAAATATGCGATGGTTCTTTATCTTCGAGGCTGTCGAGATCTAATGTGACGTCTTCACGCATCAACTTACGCACTTAAATTAATGTTGTGATCTTTTAAGTATTCAATAGACACCAGGTTCATGTGCATGAATTTAAGTAACATCGCAAAGTTACTATTAAACTATTTTTCGTGCATGAGGTAGAACGTTATTATACGTAAATCATATAAAATAACCCATTCTTGTAATGAAATATATTAATTCGCAGCACAACCAATGCGTAGACAGTATTCCTCATGTCAAATGAAATACTAAAAGTACTGGGGGGTGTTACAAGTTACAACATCAATAGTTTGCCGGAAATAGTCTACAAAGACACTCCAGGGCAATTTAAATATTTATTTAAAATATAGGAGTCAATTTAAAGACACCGGGTCCGGAAATACCCCTACTATTGGACCTACCGTCTGATTTTATATGCTACCGGACTTTGAAAAACCCTTGAAAGCCTTCTTAGTCTGTAGTCGCTTTAGTTTATGAAGACCCAAATACTCTACAATATTATTCTAAAACAAGGGTTTGAATAACTGGCTATATGATTGTAAAATAGTTGTAAAAATCTTATTTTAACAACTATTTTCAGGCCCGCTTTACACAAACAAAATCGGATTTTATCATGCCTATGTTTTGCGCATTGAACTCAAGCTATTTATATTTTAAGAATAAAAACGCACAAACAAACTTGAATTGACGGATATCTGAATTTGATTTAAGTGAAAAATATCGAGAGCTAACAGTGTTGAAGATAGTATATAGTATATAGTGACAACAGATATGTGGGACCACGCCTTTCTCACTTACCTAATACCTATCCCATTCCAAATGTTAGTAGTATGACAAATATGAACGGTAGAATTGGCAGGCATCAAAGTAACATTTAAAAAATTATTTTGAGTGACCTTAATAAATAATAAAATAAATATAAAATTAAACAATACAGATGACAAAGCTGAGACATAGTATTGTTAACTACTTCAGATTTGTGTAAAGTTTGATAATAATAGTAAAAAATAAGCAGCAAACAAGCTCCCGTGTTTTTTCCGCTTAATTTTAATAAACTCAATTATAAAGGAGCACTACCCGGCCGCAAACTCTGGAGGGAGATGATACGTCACAAACGGGAGTTCATTGGTGCAGGCCACTCGAATGATCGAGGAGACCTAATCAAGTACAAGTAAGTACCCGGAGGTAGGAGGAGCACTACCCGGCCGCAAACTCTGGAGGGAGATGATACGTCACAAACGGGAGTTCATTGGTGCAGGCCACTCGAATGATCGAGGAGACCTAATCAAGTACAAGTAAGTACCCGGAGGTAGGAGGAGCACTACCCGGTGGCATTACTCCTCGTGAGAGTTGGTAGGGGCCGGGGGGAGGGGGGGGGGCCTCGTCCATTAGATGAAGCTATCAGGTTTAACATCGATCGTGCCAAATACAGCTGGGCCTTTCTTATAATTCACATTTCAACTTACCACCTCTATTTTTTGAACCATCCTGACCATCCTGACCATCTTGAACATCCTGGTGATACCTCGCCGACAGAAGCTCATACTGTCTTAACAAGACCTTGGCCAGGTGAGAAAATGAGAAAAACAGCTCACAAAAAGTGGTAAAATAAAAACTTGGCACACTGTACAATTACAGTTAACGATACAACGTCAATACAAGTGTTATTTCTATGTGAAGAGATCTTGCCATGAATTACGCGTCTAAAAATTGTCGTACGGCGTTGAGTGGCTTCCCTATTTTTTGAAAAAATAGGCCATGACTGGATATCAATCACAGCATGTGGGTAGTGTATAATAAACTAAAAGTTGTGGGAAGTATTATTATTATCAATCACAGCATGTGGGTAGTGTATAATAAACTAAAAGTTGTGGGAAGTATTATTATTATCAATCACAGCATGTGGGTAGTGTATAATAAACTAAAGGTTGTGGGAAGTATTATTATTATCAATCACAGCATGTGGGTAGTGTATAATAAACTAAAGGTTGTGGGAAGTATTATTATTATCAATCACAGCATGTGGGTAGTGTATAATAAACTAAAAGTTGTGGGAAGTATTATTATTATCAATCACAGCATGTGGGTAGTGTATAATAAACTAAAAGTTGTGGGAAGTATTATTATTATCAATCACAGCATGTGGGTAGTGTATAATAAACTAAAAGTTGTGGGAAGTATTATTATTATCAATCACAGCATGTGGGTAGTGTATAATAAACTAAAGGTTGTGGGAAGTATTATTATTATCAATCACAGCATGTGGGTAGTGTATAATAAACTAAAGGTTGTGGGAAGTATTATTATTATCAATCACAGCATGTGGGTAGTGTATAATAAACTAAAGGTTGTGGGAAGTATTATTATTATCAATCACAGCATGTGGGTAGTGTATAATAAACTAAAAGTTGTGGGAAGTATTATTATTATCAATCACAGCATGTGGGTAGTGTATAATAAACTAAAAGTTGTGGGAAGTATTATTATTATCAATCACAGCATATGGGTAGTGTATAATAAACTAAAAGTTGTGGGAAGTATTATTATTATCAATCACAGCATGTGGGTAGTGTATAATAAACTACAAGTTGTGGGAAGTATTATTATTATCAATCACAGCATTTTGGTAGTGTATAATAAACTAAAAGTTGTGGGAAGTATTATTATTATCAATCACAGCATGTGGGTAGTGTATAATAAACTACAAGTTGTGGGAAGTATTATTATTATCAATCACAGCATTTTGGTAGTGTATAATAAACTAAAAGTTGTGGGAAGTATTATTATTATCAATCACAGTATGTGGGTAGTGTATAATAAACTACAAGTTGTGGGAAGTATTATTATTATCAATCACAGCATTTTGGTAGTGTATAATAAACTAAAAGTTGTGGGAAGTATTATTATTATCAATCACAGCATTTTGGTAGTGTATAATAAACTAAAAGTTGTGGGAAGTATTATTATTATCAATCACAGCATATGGGTAGTGTATAATAAACTAAAAGTTGTGGGAAGTATTATTATTATCAATCACAGTATTTTGGTAGTGTATAATAAACTAAAAGTTGTGGGAAGTATTATTATTATCAATCACAGCATATGGGTAGTGTATAATAAACTAAAAGTTGTGGGAAGTATTATTATTATCAATCACAGCATGTGGGTAGTGTATAATAAACTACAAGTTGTGGGAAGTATTATTATTATCAATCACAGCATTTTGGTAGTGTATAATAAACTAAAAGTTGTGGGAAGTATTATTATTATCAATCACAGCATGTGGGTAGTGTATAATAAACTAAAAGTTGTGGGAAGTATTATTATTATCAATCACAGCATGTGGGTAGTGTATAATAAACTAAAAGTTGTGGGAAGTATTATTATTATCAATCACAGCATGTGGGTAGTGTATAATAAACTAAAAGTTGTGGGAAGTATTATTATTATCAATCACAGCATGTGGGTAGTGTATAATAAACTAAAAGTTGTGGGAAGTATTATTATTATCAATCACAGCATGTGGGTAGTGTATAATAAACTAAAAGTTGTGGGAAGTATTATTATTATCAATCACAGCATGTGGGTAGTGTATAATAAACTAAAAGTTGTGGGAAGTATTATTATTATCAATCACAGCATGTGGGTAGTGTATAATAAACTAAAAGTTGTGGGAAGTATTATTATTATCAATCACAGCATGTGGGTAGTGTATAATAAACTAAAAGTTGTGGGAAGTATTATTATTATCAATCACAGCATGTGGGTAGTGTATAATAAACTAAAAGTTGTGGGAAGTATTATTATTATCAATCACAGCATGTGGGTAGTGTATAATAAACTAAAAGTTGTGGGAAGTATTATTATTATCAATCACAGCATGTGGGTAGTGTATAATAAACTAAAAGTTGTGGGAAGTATTATTATTATCAATCACAGCATGTGGGTAGTGTATAATAAACTAAAAGTTGTGGGAAGTATTATTATTATCAATCACAGCATGTGGGTAGTGTATAATAAACTAAAAGTTGTGGGAAGTATTATTATTATCAATCACAGCATATGGGTAGTGTATAATAAACTAAAAGTTGCGGGAAGTATTATTATTATCAATCACAGCTGCATATGGGTAGTGTATATTAAACTAAAAGTTGTGGGAAGTATTATTATTATCAATCACAGCATGTGGGTAGTGTATAATAAACTAAAAGTTGTGGGAAGTATTATTATTATCAATCACAGCATATGGGTAGTGTATAATAAACTAAAAGTTGTGGGAAGTATTATTATTATCTAAAATAGTTTCAGTAGCCATTTGTACTAACTGTTGGTAACTGTTGGTAACTGAAGTTCCAGGAACAGTTTTCATGATCAATTTTGTCACTCAGGATTTGTAGACAAAGGAATTTAAGCAATCGAACAGACTCCAAGTGAACAACAATTTTTTACGAAATGAGTGATTGAGATCGATTAAATGCTGTTAACACTTCCATGATATTACGGTCACACATATTGATTAAATTTGATAGACTCCATTAAGAGGTAAGAAGTGCTATTACACTAGTAATAGCACAGTAGTACACTGTACTAGTACGTCAAGATAACAAAGTCGCTAGATTGTATAAAATCACGTACATTAGGTTGAAGGCACTCAGGAAAGCAAGCCGAATAAAAGGATTCAAGTTTCAATATAACAACTCTAAAACTTAGAAGTTGGTATGTGGAATAATTGGAGGTTAGGTATGGCCTCCATACAGCCTCCATACAGCCTTACTGCGACCTCTACACAGCCACCATACAGTGACCACCGTACAGTGACCACCGTACAGTGACCACCGTACAGTGACCACCGTACAGTGACCACCGTACAGTGACCACCGTACAGTGACCACCGTACAGTGACCACCGTACAGTGACCACCGTACAGTGACCACCGTACAGTGACCACCGTACAGCGACCACCATACAGTGACCACCGTACAGTGACCACCATACAGTGACCACCGTACAGTGACCACCGTACAGTGACCACCGTACCGTGACCACCATTCGACCGGCTATGACAAAGATGATTTAACCGTTGTGAAACGAATGTAATTTCATTATGTCCGAGAATTGCCACGAAAACCAATGAGCAGTAAAATGAAAACCAATCATTTTAATCAAGTAATTAATTAAGTAATTAATTAAGTAATTACTCACTATGTCTTGGTCTTCGTCATCGTTGGGACCGAGTGTGTTCATCACCAGGGAATTCACTTTCTCTCCAAGCTGTTTCTCCTCTTTCCTCTTCTCCTCTTCCGCCTAAACAATTAACTCAATTAGTAAATTAATAAACTAATCCAATAACAAGTGATCAATTTTTAGTTGGACCTATTTTAATAATCATGGCTATAAATAAGGCTTGTTGAAGAATTTCGATAAAATCATGGCTATAAATAAAGGCCACGCTGCATACTACTGTTTATCTAACCCTGTATAATTAAGAGTACTAATTAATAATTAGGAGATGTTTCTTTCATGGAGACAATTAATCTCTTGTGGGTCACTCATGATCTTCTATAATGACCAAATTTAATTTTATGTGATTCGATTATCTAATTTTAGTGGTAGAGTGTAATATACGTCTGTAGTTTGGATTAAAGCGCTGGCAAGACTCGGTGGCATGTTGCTTTTGAAATTAAAGTGAAAAATAAAAAATAAATGAAATAAAAATATATGAAATAAATGGGGTGCTAGGTAAAATCATAATATGTAACAGTTGCACCTTGGAAAAATTGTGGGGTAATTTAAATATGGCAAAATTGAAATGTTAAAAAAGGAAAGAAGTCCGAACTATTGACTTAACATTTCACATTTTTGTGGATAAAAACTAAAAAACACCTTATATGGCATTATTACCATGGTACCAATATGTTATAGGGGTCAAGGAAATATTTGTCCAGAAGCTTTATAATTTCATGTGATAGTAGTTCACAGCTGATGAGGTAATTAGGGTAATTAATTGATGAGGTAATTAGGGTAGTAACATGTAAAGTTATATAAAGTTACACGTATAGTTATATATTAGGTGTTAACACATGGGGGACTACTACTTGGCCCAGTGGAAGTGAGGAGGAAATGTTTTCAAATGGAAACATCAATAAATCCAGTATATTTATACAGACAGCAATTTTCATATTTTCTTCAAATAAACGGTAACTGGATTGAACACAGAGATAGTGAATGATAAAAGCAGCAAGATAAACTGGAGGTGGGGTGACTGGCACTATCTTAAAAACGAGTTGAAATTTCAGATTCTCAGTCCTTTATGACCACTGCGTTGTTCACTTCTTGTCAACGTGACCCTACGTACAAGGTGCTCACGAATAATTGGCACGGTTTTGAATTACAGTTAATTAATTTAGAAAAAAAGAATCAAGATAATATCATACACACAAATTATCGTTGTATTGATGGCAGTAATTAGGCAGTATCTAGGAACCGCGTACAAAAACTGTTAATACTCTGCAAACGAACATGAAACGTAAACTATTTAATAAACGCACCCACAAATCTTACAAAAGTCTCATTTTACCATGAAAACTGCGAGAGGCCTCAATATTTAAGATGTTTTCTTAGTGAGCTCTGATGCTGCACACTATGACCAGTGCTTCACAAGACCGCAACCAGCTATATCTATAATGAATCAAGCATTGCACGTCGTTTCAGAACAAAGGTCCTTTCAAATGAGAGAATATAGTTTATCGTAGAAACATCACCCGATTTACGAGTGAAAGCGCATGACGGATTTCCTTAATTGACGCCTTATCTATTTCCATAAAGATATAGTTATAATGATTACAGAAATAAATATTGATAAACACACTCACGTCCAATGTTAAAGGTATATGGATTTAAAGCACTTGATCTTTAAAATCAACAATATATAAACAATAATCACGAATAAGAAGTGCTAATAATCGTAGACACAGTTCGCAGTTGTTCATAGCTAGTGGCAGGTTGTTCAGATATGGTATAATGGAAGAAGCGAGTGACAAGTTGGCGTTGTAATTATGGGAAACGTAGTGGGTCATTAGTGGAATTAAAGGAGAATTAAACATGAATTTGCAAAGGAGCACTAACACTATCGTCTTGACTATACACATTAGAGAGTCGATCTAGAGTAAGGAAAAGGAAATATAATTTGTCTAAAAAGAGCAGACGTCATTAGAGCTTGTCTTCTTTCAACATACCGAAAGTGAACGATTCGTGACGTGAAATTCACTGACCACTGCTTGTCATACGTGAATTATGCTTGATCACTTGCATGCCAATTCCACGAAATTGAATAATTTGTAATTCATTAAACTTATCGTGAAACATGAAATTTTGTGAAAGGCAGTTGCGAGTAGCTTCTGTAAGATACAACCTGGTGAAACAATTCGGAAGTTTATTGGGCACTTAATAAGCATCAACATTCAACAAACTACTTAACACACAGTTGAGGCACAATCTTTATTAACACAACAAAAGGCACTAAAACGAACGAAAAACAAGAAAAAAGAAATAAAACAAAAAATAACACACCGCAAAACTAAGCAAAAACATACAAAAGGAATTTATCTGGTTATAAAAACTTTTCAACCAGATCTACAACAAAACACACAGTGGGATTGCACGAACCTAAAACGAACCCACTATACCAGGATTATACATGCGGTACTATCACAGCACTGGAGTGCGATACTATCACAGCACTGGAGTACGATACTATCACAGCACTGGAGTACGACAGAAAATTTGCACCTGCGCTGTTAGTACCCAGTGTTAGCACCGAGGACTCGCGCCGCATGTACAAACACCCCGAGTGTGGCCGCTCCGTCCATCTACAGTCTACCATAGTTCACATGTCCTGTAATTCCTAAACCTGTTGACACAGCCTCGAGAGAGAGCGGTTGGATCTGATCGGAATGGAGAAAAGAGTTTTGGAAATATTGGAAATATTGGGAGAGATTGCTGGCTTTTGAAACTTTTGGTAGGGAAATATTGGGAGAGATTGTTGGATTTTGAAACTATTGGTAGGGAAATATTGGGAGGGATTGCTGGCTTTTGAAACTATTGGTAGGGAAATATTGGGAGAGATTGCTGGCTTTTAAAACTATTGGTAGAGAAATATTGGTAGAGATTGCTGGCTTTTGAAACTATTGGTAGGGAAATATTGGGAGAGATTGCTGGCTTTTGAAACTATTGGTAGGGAAATTCAAATTCAAATTCAGGTGTTCAACCCCAAAAAACCCCTTTTACCTCAAATTTTAATTTTGGGAATGGGTTTTGAGGTTTTTTAGAGTTTTTTTTGGGTTTTTTAAAATTTTTAAAATTTTTTTGTGACTTTTTATCTAATTCGACTACATTGAAAACAAAACCCCTACTAAATAGTGGGTATAATATGCCCATTTCCCAATGTTTAATGAGCTGTTTAAAGCAATTTATGGGTGGGTATCTTATTTTATATACCAAGACACAATTAGTACCGTGATTTCTCAACAGTTAGTACCGCAAAAGCCGGCAAAAGGGGTGGGTGTCTTAATTATTATCTGAAAAAACAGTTAGTACCGCGAAGGGGGTGGGTGGGTCTTTTCCAAAATTGCACTTAGTCGACGTCACGTTATGTAATATCTTCAAATAAACACGGTTTCCCACAAGCTTTCATCAGTAGAAAGAACGGTATAGCAACGAAAAGTATTTTGCTTCAGACAGAATTTCTACAAAACCGTTTGTAGCTTTCCTATATCGCCTAATGCTTATTATGTGGCAGAGTCGGGTTTTCTTGAAAGGAGTCTGCCGATTTTATAATAAAATCCTGGCTACGTGCCAATTTTATAAATACTTGAGTCCACTCCAAATATTGTCAGCGAAATTCACACATATGGATAAAGGAGATAGCCCATATATATTCAGAAGTGAGCAAAATACTAATGTACGGAAATTATTATCGATGAATCCTTATTTTCAAGAGAAGACCTATCCAATTGTCCCTATACCAGGTATGCGGAAATTGCTTAAAACTAAACTTTATACTAAACTAAGGATTCACGCATGATAGGAAGGAGTTGGCCCGTTATTGTAGAGGTCTAGTACAAGGACCTATATCACATTAATTTATGGGTTTATTGTTAATCTTAAGAGGCCCGTGCCCAACGGTATTCACTGTGAGTTTGAACCGAGACTAAACTCTCATACCCAGAAGAAAGTTTTATCGCTGCCCCCTAAATCTTGTGATTAGCTTATAATTTTATCATTTAAATTCTGTCGTTCGCTATGTTTAATTGGCCTTGTCATGGTTGAGACGAGTAATAAAATATAATATATGTATAAGCTTTTAGCTTGTCAGTTAACGATTATCTTAATTTTTGTGGCCCCATTTTGTACGTGGAATCGAATAATCAAATTGGTTGATTTTGATAATATTCCCTTTCAATCATAATCCCGAACTTAAAATCAGAACACCAGAACCCACCAAAGTTTTGCACGACAAAGTTTCCTATTCCTGCATACGGTCCTAGCGAGACAGTATGTACTTGAGTATATAATACAGTAAAGCTAGGGTATTCACTCTGAGCCCTCTAAGTAGTAATTAGATTTAAGTTTAAACACTGAGTCCGGGACTCACAGACAAGAGAGCGCCCAGTCTTGCACACAAGATTAGAGGTGCACGGTTGAGGCAGTGGTTTTCTTTTATGGTTCTTAGTGCAGCAAACAAATATTTCAATGTAAAATCACCAACCTTTCCGCACCACCCCCTAAAGACCTTCCAAACCATACTTTTTTGACGCGAAAATTTACCGAAAAAAACAACTCGAAAGATGCAAGAAGAGAAGTAAAGCAGCGGAAAATCAACAATGGTATTAACTACTAAGAGTTGACAATAATTCATTTACAAGCTCCTTTTAATCTTTCGAGACTTACTGTCAGAGTGAAGATGAAAATAAGAAAATTTAATGTTACACACTATAAAGTTTAATGTAACACACTTAAAGCAGTTCATTTAATGGCTTTACACACTGGAGCGTAAAATTGTAACCGTCACTACAATCAGAATTTCGTATAAAAATTACGTTGGTCATTTCCAGAGGAACTGTATCCTGGAGCGACTAAACGTGGTAACGATGTGACGGGGAAATGCAGAACTCGTCAAAGAAATATCCGGACTACAGGACGTCTAACTTAAGTAACCTCGACCGTGTCTGACTCCGTACACTAATCCTCATCACTTTAAACTGGCGCTTATGAGCTTTAGTTTAAAGCTGAGTTAAAAGCTCTCA